TCATTTACAATTTCGAATTTCTGCCACACCCTGAGAACAGTGTATTGTGCAGTCGAGCATATACGTTGGCAACGCTTTAAGGTATTTTTTGTTTGTTTTTCGTTTATTATACTAATTCTCGTTTGACTGCAATAAATTAGGTGCCAAGCCCCTTCTTCAACATGCAACTGAAACATCAGACAGTAAAGTCCATTAAAAATCGAACGCATTGCAGTAGCTGACTTTTGCTTTGCATTACAACAACAACAGAAACAACAACAGCAGCCGTAGAAGCAAATTGAATGCATTTACAAATGTTTTTGTCTAAATAGCAAACTAAAATAACAACAACAACAACAGCAAGACAAACAAATGCAGCAGCAGATATTGAAACGACGCTGCTGCTGCAGGGAAATTTCTATTCAATTCAATTTGTCAAATGCCCACACACACACATAGAGGGAACTCGTATGTGTGTATGCATGCGTGTGTGTGTTTAATTCTTTATTGTTTTTGTTGTTAAACACAAACAAAAAGTTCAAGGCTAAAATTTGGTGGGCAACATGCGCACAAATAAAACAAAATTTAGAAAATAAATTAAATCTTCGAATAAATGAATTTAAAATACTCTTACGACATATTACTTAATATTACTTTTACTATTGTAAAATTTATTTCTGCTATAATTTGAATAAGATGTGAATAAACTTTTCAAAAATTGTGTAAAATATAAAATTGAAAAAAAAAAAAGAATAAATATATAGAACAAAATTTAAAAATCATTATATATACGTTATATGTTATATGTTTATATACATACACATGTAAATAAATATGTACATACATACATGTAAACTTATTTATTATTTATTATTTTTATATTATTTATTTTACGAATGTATAAAATATAGATTATACCAAATTTTTATTTACATATTTATAAGTATTTTTTATTGCTATTATTTTTGTTTTTTTGTTTTTCTCTACATCAAAGAATTTTGCGTTAGGCCCAAAATAATTTTCAAATGTTTCAAACTAAATAATATTTATTATTCCCATCGAGCTTGAAAACAGTTGTAAATTGTTTTTCATGAATTTTCCATCCTGGCAAATGGAATTTTCCCAATTTCTGTGGTCATTCAACTCTTTTAGCTTGCATAACCCAGTTAGTTAGAAGAGTATTTGAATTTGAGCAACAGTTGTTTAAATTCAACTTGCTCAGTTACATAGAGAAATATACGATAAAAAAGCACAACAACAAGAAAATAATAGAAAATTGTATCAACAAAATAAGTATGTCATTCAGCTAATTGCGCCTTGGCTGCTGGCAGCTGGTTGTTGGCTGTTGGCCGTTGGCGTTCAATTAATTTCTCGTAAAAGCATTGCCGCATGTTTATAAATTCACATTTAGTAAGGAAAAGCTGTTATGCAGAGAGTTTATCAAAACCTTGTCGCCAGGTGCTCTATTTTAAGCACACACAGAGAAAGAGCCCAACAAAAATCTATACACATATTTCGCATTTACGATATTATAAATATATACATGAGCGCCAATATGTATATATATATGTATATACGTAGCATACATAAGATCTGATCTGTCATGTGCCCGAAAGAATTTTGTTTACACAAATTGCTACGAAATAATTGTGGCGATTCCCAGATAAGATTAAGCATCAATTGTAAAGTGCGCACAAATCGGACCTAGCCCAAACTGACGCCTTACTCTAATCTATTTTGTTTGCTAGTTGTCCTATGATAACCTACAGACAATTATAATTACATAGATTATCTGAATCCAGCGTAAATATTGAGCTGAAAAGTATGTTGAGCAAGTAAAGATTATTGGAACTAATAGATTTATTGTATATGCAACTTTGCGATGCTCTAAAATTTGTTTACCAATACATTAAAATGTTCAAAATCTGAAATGCTCCTGACATACATCAGTCAATCTTTATTGCATTGTTGGGCTGGAACTAAAATTATCTGTTTGTAGGAGCAAATATACACCCCCACTTTTATCTAATCATTAATTACATGGTAAGTAGGGAGGGCCTTGAGTTATTCGAAACACCTTATATATCATTGGCTTTCTTAATAACACTCTTCGATTTCATTTTCATACTCTAAACCCATTGAAATTAGTAAGTCAGGGCATATATGGTTGAAATTCATATAACAGGCAATAGGAGCCGTAGCAGACCTCATAGAGAATATATGTACATATATTCTTGATCAGGGCTATGAGCTGAGTTTATTTAGCCCTATCCGTCTGCGTGGGCGTGTGCATTAGTTCTTTTTCTGAATACATAAGAAAAGAATTATCGGAATATCCATTCAGTTAATGGTATATCGTAGTCGAGCAGTCTCGCCTAGATCACTCTTACTTCTTTTTGTTAAATTAAAATTTTTTTTTAACTGTCAAAATAAAAATATATTTTACATGCTTATTTTAATCTAATTTACGACTTCCCCCGTCCTGTTTTGCTGTGTCACATGATAATTGATAACTAAGCTTATCATAATGACAATAATGAGCATTCGGATCTAGTTCGAATTCCAAAAGAGCGAAGTCATTCACTCTTTTGATTTATAATAACGCTCTATGCGATTTGTATAAATTTTAAAGTTCTGGCAACATTGGCTTTCTTTTGATTCTAAAAAATTCCTTTCTATGCGATTTGCATAAATTTGATAGTCAATTATATAGAACTGAATGCATAATATTATATCTAACGAAAACATTTATTTTTGCACTGTGTTAAACTATCTTAGAAGCTACTATTAAAACTATATTCAAATTTACAATTTTACAGCTTTAAGCCATATATCCAGAACTGTATACATGTTACGGCAACATTAACCTCTTTTGATTTATAAGAACGCCTTTCTATGTGATATGCATAAGTTTTACAATAAATTGTATAAAAGGAAATGTAAAACTATCTCAATTTCTTTTTTGTGTCGAATTATGTGAAATGAATAAAATAGTATGAGAGCCCTATTTGGATTTACCTTGCTAACAATTTAACAATTTATCACACCTAATACATATTCATTTCTTCATATCTGTGCACTATCTTAAAGTAATTCCGTTATAAATACTAATATATAAAGTCGATGTGAAGCTGCTTTAACATTGCATTTTGCATCGCTAGGCACACATCCCATCGCTCAAATCCACTTATAATCAGTGATAGTAAAACATTTGATGTGAGTTTAATTCCAGCACAGCCGGACGCAAAACAAGTCTCCGGCTCGTCTAGTCCAGCCCAGTCTAGCCATCAGGCTGGGCTCTGCACGTACTCTTGGTCAATCAGAGGCAAAGTAACGATTTGTTGCGTTAATGCCGCGTGTGCCCTAATACCAGGCCATAATGCCGTACGTGCCGCAGATAAATACCGAATCGCATAAAAAAATAAACCAAGCTGTTGTAGTTGTTGCCAATATGACGAAGATGACGATGATGGGGATGGAGGGAAAAAGGTCGACACTCACAAGCATATTGACCCTTAAGGAAAACTGTGTGCTTTCACGCTTCGCAAATGGCAGTGGAAGCTGATAACAAAAATTTGTTTACGTAAACTGTCTCATCTCAGGCGGGCGCAAGCCAACGCATAATTATAAACAAACAACAGACGGGCTGTCAAAAAAAACAAAAAAACAAAAAACTTGCTCGATTTAGCTCAAGCCAGAATCGCATCGGTGTTTGACCTTTTTTGGGCTGAGATAAACAAACAAAAGGGGGAAAATCTAAAGTTGATACTAGCTAGAGAGTGTCTGACTAAATGATACCCTATACCTAATCGGATGTCTAAGCTTAAGAGTGGCAGATCAATAATTCTATAACTAACGATATCAATATCGATATATAAGTAATATAACAGTTTACAGCTGAATGCACACAGCAATACAACCCATTTTAGAGATTTTTCACTGGGTAGCAAGTACATGGCAAAGGTAAAAGGTTACGATGAAATGTATAGGTAGCTATATATATATTTATATATACATACATATATACAGCGCAGTTACAGCGAGACTCTGTTTACAAGCAGCTCAAAAATATAGAAATTTCAATTGATGCTCTCTCTCTCGGGCCAATAATAATTGAAGCGAACATATTGATTGCTATGAAAAGCTAAACTCTGATAAATGGCGATTCGAGGAAATTGTGTGGGGTCTTTAGACATTTAAGGTATTTTGTTGTTGTCAAAATAAGCTAAAGTTCTCATAGCTTATCTATGGTAAACACGCGCCAGATTCTGTATAGTATATTTGTTAAATATTCTGCGTGTGACTCACGCGAATTTGGCAAATAAAAAATTTATTATTAAACTAAAAATCTCTAATCTCACATTAGGGTCACTAGCACAGATGTCAGATGTATGCATATATATATGTCAAGTCGAAATGTCCAACAACAATGCAATTGTTGTGCAATTATTGTTGCTGTTTACAAATGAAAATAAATAGAAACAAGTGCAGAAACACAAAAGTTCAAAACTTTTTCCAACTGATGATGACTAAATACCCTTAAATGTACTCAAAGAATACATATACATATATATAAAGAACACATATTTTATAATAAATAGTCCGATAATGTAGTGAGTCGCAGTATTTTGTAAGTTTTATTTTTTTTTATTTATTTTTATTTTTTTTTATCAAATTTAATCTTTATTGAATTAGCATTGCCTCGCTTGCGCTTTTCAATTAAAATTACTCAATAATTTTCCTTGGTAACAGAAACAGAATTTTGTTGTTTCTGATATATGCTAAATTGGTGTGCACCAAAAATATAAATAATTAAGATAAATATCAATTTTAATGTTTTTATAGTATTTTCAATATTAATTACAAATCGCCTAATTTGTATAGAAATATCAACGAAGAAGAAAGGAAAACACTGCTCACTATGTAATTATTCTCTACTCATTTTGTACCTCTCTCTCTCGCTCACTCTTACTTATTTCATTATCAATTGCATATTATGTAAATGTTGCTCTTGCACTCACCTTGGTATGCAATTGGGCGGTGTTCGATCGACTTCCCAGGCGGCGAAGAGTTTCATAGGCACCGGCTTTTGTCCGTTGCCTGTCATATTACTGCTGCCAGCGCCGTAGCCGCTGATGACGCCGCCACCACTGAGGCCGCTGGCCGTGCCCGTCACATTGCCCGATGCAGCGCCAGCGGCAGCTACGTTGGCTGTTGCCGACGCTGTGGCTGAGCCGCCGCCACCGCCACCGCCACCGACTCCTCCGCCGCCACCGCCGCTGCCACTGGCGACAAATTTATCCATCAATTTTGACGATTTGTCCACCATCTTCATGGTGATTTTGTAATTATTGTTGTATTATATTGTTGTTTCTTTGGTTGTTGTGTGTTTGCTGTTAATTTCTGTTGTTGCACATTATGAATCTAGTAAAAAATATTGTTTCACATAAATTCCAATACACGTTATGTATAATATAACTAAATTTATTCGAATGTAGCGTTTGAAGCGTCGCAAACTTTTGTTCTATTGTCACACACATACATATACATAGATGTGTATATATACTTATATATATTTATTTATTTATTTGATAGTAAAGAATTTATATTCTCCGCTGCAGCAATTGGGCGGCTGCTGCTGTGGGGCGCGCCAGCTGCTGGCTGCCTGCTGTGCTGCTCGCCCTTAATGTTCAAAAAGATGCGCTTCGTAGTATACACAGAATCACGACGCATCCAAAACCGAGAAGCAAGCCGACCAACAGAAGTGAAGAGGGGAGGGGTACACGGAACGCGAATAGGCAGAGGCAGCAGCAGAGACAGAGAGCCAAATACGATTGCAACTGCAAAATTGACACACACACACACACGAACGCACACTCGCAGAATCAATAACACGATTTTTTGCTGCTACCCAATATGAATCTGTTATAGAATTTTACTGATTTCCCGGAGCAGCTTAGAGATGTGCCTGCCGCACGTACGCGTTGTCTGCTATTTGACGTTGGAGAGCCCGAAACAACCGTCATGCTCCAAAGTAGCCGTGCAAATGTCGCGTTATAAATTTCTCACAGTCACTCGTTTCGCATGCTAAAGCCAGAGTGCGCGGAGGAGAGAGACAGAGTGAAAGAGAGAAAAATTCAGTGAGCAGCAAATCCGCTGCTGGGGCGCGTCAAGAGCGCAAGCGGCAGCAATAACAATGTGCGCACTCCCCCACATACAATCACACACACTAGCACAAATTCGAGTACGAGCACTCAAACAACGTTGGCGCTTTTTGCAAATTTCGTGTCCGTGTTAGGCTTGTTCGTGTGTTTATTCGCGCATTTTATGCTCTCCTACGCGCGCATAAACAAAAGGAAACAAAAGGCCCACCAATTGCACGCAAGTGTGTGTAGATGCATGTGTGTGTGTCGAAATATACATATACCCGCAAATGTATGGAAAGGAAAGCACATTGGGAGTAGCAACAGCAACAGCGCCTTTCACAACATTTAATTTGAATTTGAGTGCACACCGTTGATGTTTTAACATAAAAACTCTCTTATGTATTATTTATTTTATTTACCACGATTTATTCACCAAAAAATCGCGGAACAATCTACGACGTCCGCCACTCATTCAGGCAAACACATACTAACAGCAATAAACTAACACATAGACAACAAACACTGTTTAACATTTACTGAAATGTTATTAACAGTGACCGCAAATTTCTTTTACTGAAACGACACAAAGTTGATTTTCATGAATGCAATATATCTACTTATATTTAATAAACAGTGTTTAATTGAACAAAAATGTTTAAAATACGGATGTCGTTTGAATGAAGAGCTATTAAACAGACATCAAATCATTGCAACTTTCATATATAAAAACAGGAAACATTTTCCAACACTAAGTTTTATCGATAACTTCTTGCTGCCAGGGCATCAGCAGTCTTATCTGTCATAATTAATGTAAACAAAACTGAATTATCCGGCGACGAAAAGAAATCATACAAATAATGGCCGATGCATGGGACATAAAGTCACTTAAGACAAAGCGCAATACTCTGCGCGAGAAGCTGGAAAAGCGTAAAAAGGAACGGATCGATATACTTTCTGACAAACAAGAGGACCAGTCCAACCCAAAAAAAGAGCTTGGTAAGCGACGACCCGGCAACAAGTAGATATAGTATAAATAAATTAATTTCAGTTGAAGCCGATGTGGACGTACAGAAGGCTGTACTTCAGACACTCAGTGCTAGCACTCTCGTCCTTCCCATTGTCTCAACGCAAGTGGTCGATAAAGTCGGCTGCCTAATAGAGAAGCCTCCAACGATGGAAATGGTCAACTTTATACTTGGGAAGCTAGCCAATCAGGGCGCAATTGGTATAAGGCATGTCACAATTGGCACAGAAGCGGGATACGAAGTGATATCTGTACAAACCAAGGAGCTATTGGAAATATACGACGATATTAACGACAGTTGCCAGCAGAATGAGGAAACTGATGCGAAGCGAAAATGTAAGCAAATGCTTGTACATAATTGAGAATATACCGATTAATATAAAGTACCTAACAGTAGAATCTGGGCAGGATGAGGAGAACGATGATGACCAGTTACAGCGTAAAATACAAAAAATGGATTCAGGAAGCGCACGCAAAGAGTCAACCAGTCTGGATGCATCGGATGACATCATGATGCTGTTGTCCCTGCCTTCAACACGAGAGAAGCAAAGCAAACAGGTCGGCGAGGAGATACTCGAATTGCTGACCAAACCGACGGCCAAGGAACGCTCCGTGGCCGAAAAGTTCAAATCCCACGGAGGTGCACAAGTCATGGAGTTCTGCTCCCATGGAACCAAAATCGAGTGCCTCAAGGCTCAGCAGGTAGCCAATGAAATGGCAGCAAAAAAGAAACTCGAGCGTCGCGAGGAGAAAGAGCTTCGCAATGCTGTCGCTGCCGATGGAGCCATTGCCAATAGCAGCAAGCTAGTCAAGCTGAGTTCCGAGGATGCCGAAGATGGCGAGATCATAGCGGAGAACCTAAACAACTGTGAGGCCGACTCGCAGGAGTCCACAGATGATAGCGAATCCTCCGGTGACTCGGACAAATGCACAAAACTGCACTTTAAGAAAATCATTCAATCCCACACGGACGAGTCGCTGGGCGATTGCAGTTTCTTGAACACCTGCTTCCACATGGCCACTTGCAAGTACGTGCACTACGAGGTGGATACGCTGCCACATATCAACACGAATAAGCCGACGGATGTGAAGACTAAGCTCAGCATGAAACGAAGCATCGACTCCAGTTGCACTCTCTATCCGCCGCAGTGGATTCAGTGTGATCTTCGATTTCTGGACATGACGGTGCTCGGTAAATTCGCTGTCGTCATGGCCGATCCCCCATGGGACATACATATGGAGCTGCCGTATGGCACCATGTCGGACGACGAGATGCGCGCACTAGGCATACCAGCACTGCAGGAAGAAGGCCTGATATTCCTATGGGTAACGGGGCGTGCCATGGAACTGGGACGTGATTGCCTGAAGCTCTGGGGCTATGAGCGTGTCGATGAGCTGATCTGGGTGAAAACGAATCAGCTGCAGCGCATCATACGCACTGGCCGCACCGGTCACTGGCTGAATCACGGCAAGGAGCACTGCCTGGTCGGCATGAAGGGCAATCCGACAAATCTGAATCGCGGCCTCGACTGTGATGTCATCGTCGCAGAGGTGCGCGCTACCAGTCACAAGCCCGACGAGATCTATGGCATCATTGAGCGCCTCAGTCCGGGCACCCGAAAAATCGAGCTCTTCGGCCGACCGCACAACATTCAGCCAAACTGGATAACGCTGGGCAATCAATTGGATGGCATTCGCCTAGTCGACCCCGAGCTAATTACCCAATTCCAGAAGCGTTATCCCGATGGCAACTGCATGTCGCCCACGGCGGCGGCAGTGAACGCGATTAAGAACTAAACAAATATACGGACAAAAATATAATTCTTATTACAACTTTTATAAATACTAGTATGTTAAGATTAAAGTAAATATTTAAATAGATTTTATTGCTCATTCTGGGATTTTGCGCGTATTTACAAGTGCCGTTGGCGCCAAATGAATAATGTGTATCTATGGGCTATAAATAGGATTGGCATATGTATATATATAAATGTATAGAGATATATATACACGTAATCCATGTATTTGTTTATATATATAGAGTATATAGAACGGCTAGTTAGATACGATCTTAATCACAGCATCGTATGCGTGAAAGATATAGACGATTGCTAATGGGCAAAAATATATGATGTAAACAACTAAGACTTATGGGAGAATACAGAGTTAAGTTAATATTATACATACATATACTATATGTATGCTATCCCTGTGCCCTGCAACACCCTCTCGCCTAGCCATTGTCCGTGGATCAGCTTAATATATGTACACTAAGGTTTTGACATGAAAATGGAAAATCTTCCTTTTATCAATCCACTTGAAAAGTTTCACGCGGCATTTTCAACCAAAATTTTGATAATGTAACGGCTTACAATTAAAAGCGTTTGTAATCCGCAGTTAACATAAATTACATAAATTTCTGAACATTTGTGTGTTTGTGTTGTGGGTGTCCTCCTGGGCAGTTAGCGCCGGTCCTGAAAATCCTTAACGAGAGTGCGTTCCAGTTGCACTTATCGCCTTTAGAACTATGAAGCCCAGCACCGTGGCGGCGGCCACGCCCAAGCCAGCTTTGAGCCAAACTTTCGGATCCTCAGTCATCAGTCCGAATTGTCGCAAATATCTAAGAGAATGTGATAAGACAAATTATGCATGAGATACAGGTACTAAACAGAATTGAGGGAGGGTTTCTTAAGGAACTAAGTATATTGTCGTATGATCCGTACAACACATTTGCAAAGCGTGTGTTAGGTGTATGAGTGCGTGAGGTTTAGAATGATCGCAGCGCATGTTAGGAATACAGTAAAGAACCCAGACAGCATTAGTAAATATTCAAGTCAGATGTGTAACACTTACGCCGATTCCCACAGCTGTACCAACCTGTGCTTGTAGAACAGTATCCAGGCGGCTTGAAAGCGCCTACGAAGTGGCAGCAACAGCGGCAGCACAGCAAATATCCAAGAAATCCAAGAGCAGAGCAGCAGCAGAGTCCATAAGCATTAAGGATGCACAATACATCAACAAAACATAACATGAACACCAAACAAAAATCGTAGGGGGTAAGTGGAGGGGAGGAAATAAGAGAAGATAATAAAAGTAATAATATATATTGCCATTAATCCGAATATGTCAAAAATGCCAAATGCCCAAATGATCTGTGTTAACCCAATGAGCGCTCTAATGACCGCAACCCAAATGGAAAAGCATTTCAATACTCACGGAAAGGCCGCCATTGTGGCCAGCTTAGTGTAGAGCTCCTTTTTGTTGGTCTTCAGGCTGAAGAGATGGGGCGGGAGCAGCTTGTATTTCTCGCAGAACTCCGCCGGCTGCATTAGATAGTCCTGGCGACGCTCCTCGAGATCACACTTGGTGCCCACAATCATGACGGGAATTTTGCTTTCCGCAAAGTATTTAATGTATATGCGGGCCACATACTCGAAGGAGCGCGGATTGGAGGAATCGTACACCAGGCAGGCGACGTCGCAGTTCACCTCCTGCGGCTGCAGCGGATCGAGCGCATGCCGCACATCGATGTCACGCAATATTAAATGCTTCTCCTGGCCATACACCTGCACCGAGTTGATGCAGTGCACCACATTCGTCTTGAACTCTTTGCCCAGCAGCTTGCTCATGTCGTCAATGAGGAAGCCGCGGCACAGTCCGGTCTTGCCCGAGCCCTTGGGTCCGATCACGTGGCACTTGTACACGGACCGACTGCTCTGCCGCTTGGCCAGATCAATGCGACGCTCTCGCGTCACATGGATGGCCACCAGTTGGCTGTCGTTTTCGTGTACATTGAAGCCCAAGTAGGCCAGATACTCCATGGTTTTGACCACATCGATCAGGGTCATCAGCGTCCAACGGCACAGCCAACCGTGCAGTGTGACCCAGCCGCAGCTATTGGTCGGACACGACTTGCGTATGTCCGTCGAATAGGACCAGGGCGGCGATGGGCAGGTGCTGAATAGCATTTTGTGCTCCTCCGGCGACAGCGCGCCATCGCCATCGCGATCGTACCGCTCGAAGAGCGCAATCAAAAACTGTTGACCGCGATGCGATAACTCCGTGCTGCTACCCGGCGGAATCTTCAACGCCGGCCGCAAATACTCCTTGCACATCTCCAATTGATCGTTGTAGCCAAATCGTCGCAGCACCGCCCACGTTGTCTCGTTGCGTCCACGCTGTATGAACAGGCAATGCAAAAAGAGAAATCCCTGCAGCGTCACGGCATCATTGTAGATGCCATCCGGCACGTTTTTCTGTATCACGGACTTCACCTCATCCAATATTTGTGGCTGCAGCGGCGTATTAAAGCAACGCCTCTGAAAGAGGTTCAGCTCGTAATCATTCAGCAGATTGTCGCTATCAATATCGCATATCTTGAATATGCGCACCAGCGACTTTTTGCAGGCAGGCGTTAGCTGTAAGTGTATTGCAAGGAAAAGTTATCTTCAGTTAGCCAAAGGTTAAACACCAGCAAATCTCTCTATATATATATTAATTCTATTGTGCACAGAGTCCCACAAAGAACATTTTTATTTAGTTGCTTATATTGCATTCTGATAAAAATAGCTCTCAAGGCTATGCACATATGTATTACTTTATGACTACGTTGGTCTGGAACGAAAAGTTAAAAGAGTCTGGAATAGTTTACGCTGAACAACTAAAGAGTAAGCTGGAATGAATCTAGCGTTACTCTAGCCTTTTTGCTGTCCTTTATTGTGTTGTATTTTGGATAGAGTGTTACTTATGTACTAAAATTTTCAGTCTTAAGGCTTGAAAGGGAATTCGGACTAATCTACCTTACCTTTTAGTGCGAACCTACTCTCAGAGTTGGGAATGATCTCTAGAAACCAATATACTTATCTATCGATTGCCGATTATGAGAATTTATATTTCGGAAAAGTTGCCTACCAAATACAACTTCGGACTAATCAAGTTTACGTTTTCGTGAGAAGCCTCGCAGCAGCAAATCTGCTATGGGAATTATCTCAACAACTGAAAATTCCTACTTATCTAATCGTCCATTATGTGGTCTTATTTTGTGACATCTTCCAATCAAACTCTTCTGTTGTACCTAGCCTTAAAAGGTATTCGGAAAAATCTAACTTATATTTTAGTAGGAAGTTTCTCTCGTAGATGGAAAGTATCCTCAAAAATTGAGGCTGTTCTAGCCTACATTTTGGTCATCCATGAGGTGGAGTACTATTTACGTTATCACAATATTAAATATTAATCAAGCTTCGTGTCTTCACTTGCATTGCATAAACTTTTTAATCAATTCGGACTATTCCAGCTTACATTTTAGTGGGAAGTTTCTCTCGCAGTATCAACTCTGATTTTGAAATAATTATTATTCAACTAACAACTAATGTGGCTTACATTTTGCTCCTCCATGATGTAGAGCGGTGAGGTGGGATGCAGCACCGCCTTTTGTGCGTAGTAGAACATTTCGGAAATGTTGTGCAGAGTCTTAGCGGAGCATTCAACACAGCTCTCAATCTCCGGATAGTCCTCCATGATGGCCAAAACACTGTCGATGGTTGAATACTCGATCAAATCAATTTTGTTGCCAACTAAGACAATTGGCTTGCGCGCCACATCGGGCTCGCCGTCTGTGTTTGTGCTGCTGCTGCTGCTGCAGGTGGAGCGGACTAGGGGTAGCCAGTGCGATGTTATACGATCGAGCGAGTCGTCATCGTCCACGGCGTACACAATGCACACGACGTGCGCTTTGTTTATCTCGGCGGCCAGTGCTTCATCGGATTGCTCAACGCTCGAAAAGTCAACGATATTGGTGGGCACTTGTTCAGGAGTCACGTTCGCCGGTATTGTAATTTCTTCGGCTCGAGGCGGCACCTCCTCGGGATACTCCTCGCTGACTAGGGACAATATTAACGACGTTTTGCCAACTCCAGCATCGCCGATAAGCAGAATTCTCACATTTTTGCGCTGCGACGCTGTGTATTGACCCATCACTCTTCCGTATTTTCTTGTTGCTATTCTATACGTAAGTACACTACGTTATCGCTTTACGTTTTCGTTTTCGTCAATTTTGGTTACTCTCCCTCTCTTTCTTGTGGTTTTAGGATAATTTAAAGATTTTGTTATGCAAAAACCGCAGATACAACCGAGACGGCAGCTGATTTATAAAGACACGCGTATCGATACTTCAAAACATCGAAATTTTCAAAGCGACAACAACCCTAGAACAACCCATGTGGTGCTGCCGGACCAATTGTCAATTTGAAAATATTTTAATTGTGTATGGTGTTTTTTGCATTTGCTGATCTTTCAATCGAACTTTTCTAATTTACCAAAGTATTATTTCGAAAAACATAGCGTTTACTGCCTTTCTGAAGTTTGCTCCCCCTCAACATTTTCAAATCGTTAGAACTGAAATGATGTGGCAACTACATCAGCGGAGACGGAGAAAATTTGTTTTGTGAGTTGGAAACGGCACAAAAAAACGGCGCTCAATAAATTTACATATAGAAAAATGAGAAATAACAATTAACAACAAAAAGCGCGCGTCGTGTGTTCCGTTTCAGTTTATTTCAGTTTTCAGTACATTATTTAATTGCGTAGTCTTTTTGGTTTTGCTGTCTTTGTGTCTGAGCTGTGGAAGCTATTGACTGTGTGAGAGTGAGAAAGAGAGGAGCAAAACTTCGCTTCTCTGGAGGTGGAGGCGGAGGGTGTTGTGTTTGTGAAAAGAGACTCGTATAGAAAAACAGTGCTGCGGCGCGGAATCAATATCGATGGTACGCACCAAAAACCAATCGTCGTCATCCAGCGCCAGCAGCAGCACCAAGTCGCCGGTCAAGATCAGCGGAGGCGGCAGCAGTGGAGCCAATCGCAGTCGCAGCTGCAGTGAAGCATTAATC